ATTGTTTCAAAGTTTATGATTGTTCCTTCTCTGTTGTAGGTTTTTAAACTGTGGTGTTTTCTGAAGCGCAAAGAGGACATCTCTTCCATTTGGTGAAAGACAATGGGAAGTAACTCTGAAGAAACTGTGACCCTTGACCCAAGCCCAGAGTCTTCAGATGAACTTTCATTCCAACTTCTCAAACCGGACATTTTTGCATATGTGCAAAACAACCTAATGTCCAAAAACACAAAACTATTCTCAATGTTGGCTTTACTAAATGCAAATGTTCCAGAGTCTTACCTGGATTTGGAAGAGTGTCAACAGATCCTTGGACCACCTGATCACATCCATGGAGAAAATGCCTTAAAAGGAAGAATGGAGCCTTTTTCCTGCCTGATCGAATTAACCAGCAGCGGTGTGCATCTGATGAACCCAGACATTGCCACCAGATATTTGGACGTATTAGCTGATCTGAACATCACAATAAATATCATAGTGAAGGACTGCATATATTTACTTTGTTGGAATAAAGCTTCAACAAACACAACCCGTTTCCTCCAAGACCTCCTCATGGGAAACACCGTGGTGGAACATAGCAAAGAGGTGTCCTTAAATCTGGTTGAAAAAATTATGGAGGAACAGAAAAAACCATCGACACAACTGCCAGCGATGGCTACAGAAAGTAGCTCTGATAACAGTCTGACCTTACAAATTAATATTGAGTCATTTCTGAACTTCTTCTTTAGCCTTTTTAAACCAGACCTATCGAATAATGCTGTAAGAAAATCTTGGAATACAAAGCTGTTCTCTATTTTGTCACTGCTGAAAGCATATGTTCCAGAGTCCTACCTAACCATGAGAGAGTGCCAAAGGATCCTGCAACTATTGCCTGAGCTTGGTGAAAAGTTTTCATTTGAAAACAGAATGATGCCCTTCCTTAGTCTTACCAGAGTTTCTTGTGGACGTGTGAGTCTAATTCACACAGCAATTGCAAAGAAATCTTTGGAGCTATTGGGTGAAGTGAGTATTTCCAGAAGTTCCATAGCAGATGACTGTATATCTTTACTTTGTGGAGAACAAGCCACACCTCACATAGTCAAATTCATCAAACTCCTACTAACGCAGAGAAAAAAGAGCGAGAACGGCAAAGAGAACTTTTCACTACTGATACAAGACATATGGAATCAAGAGGGGGGTTCTGATGAAGCTATCTCAGTTTTAGAACATGCTTCATGTGAATTTGACGACAAGTTTGTCTATCCTCAAACAATTGCTCGCCTGTATTACCAAAAAGAAAATGACTACAGTAAAGCAGAAGGCTGGGCACATGAAGCTATAAGTAGAGATCAGAAAAACTCTTATGTTGCTGACACTCTTGGACAGGTGTACAAGCACTGGCTGATAAAATCTATCTCATCCCTTCAAATAAACAACAGGGTAGAAAAAGCCATTAAAGCTTTTAAAGACGTGGAAAAGAAAGCTGAGAGAGAACTTGATGATTCAACAAATTCCTTCAACAACCGAGGTCATTTTGGTTTGATTCAAGTCGCACAAATAATTGCAAGAAACTGTGACTGCTTTAGGAGATTTAAGGAAACTCTACAAGGCGATGTTGAAGCCAAGTTTGAGTTTTTTGAATGGTATCTAAGCTACTCCATGATAGACAGGGTAACTGTAGAGCCTGACTACTTCTGGAAAGATGTTGCCTCTTGCTATAATAAGTACACAGCAAAACACGCCTCTGATTCCACCAGCTTTGCAGCTCTTTTGGACTCTTTGAATCACGGCCTCTTTGTGTCAAAGGAAAAACGAGCTTTCAAGGATGCAGTTACCCAGAAAACAGAGTCAGATTTAAAGAGAATACGAGATGAATTAAAGACCATCTATGAGAGAAACAGAGATGATGTGAAAGTGGCAGAGAGGTACATCCTTTCAAACATCATCTTGAGCAACAAGGTGCCTCACTCTCCTTCACTCCCCCAGGTTAGAGAGCTCCAGTCAATACTTCAGAGATTCCTGCACAACGGGATGAATGGTACAGACCCAGAGTTTTACCTCTTGGTCCTGCTGCTGTTTTGGCCAGTGGAGAACCTTCAGACGAAGCAAAAGGTGGACAATACAATCAAAATTGACCTGGAAGAAAAAGTCATACTAATGGAAAAATCTTATATATCAATCTATGGCAAGTACCTCCGAGGTCGTTATCTATTGCCGCTGTTTTTTCTAGGAAAGGGTTCTGGCCTTAGCAGATGGATTCACCGGTCTAGGCTGGATGAAGTTGTTGAAAGACACATAGAAACAGAGCTTCATGATGACCGAAATAGAAACAAAACAAAAAGAAGGATGATCAATAATACGTGGAACAGTGGGAAGGTGTGGGAGCTGCCAGAAATCCAAAGTATCCTTCAACCAATCCAAATTACGCTGCAACTGAGTGGAGAAGAAGCTAAAGTCTGTGTTGGAGGGAAGACATTAAAAGCCAGAACAGATTTTAAAGCTGGTAGCCAGACAACAAGCAATGCACTTTATTATCTTGGCTTAAACATCAGGGGGCCTGTGGTCTTCAAAGGAGAAGCTCCATGAAATGACTTTGAATGTCAGGGAAGATGTCCTTATAAAGGTTCTACAAAGCAGCATCAGAACACTGTGTCAGCATTGTTATTTGTTCATTAAGCATGATTTTAACAGGTTTTTAAGCCATGTTATTTTATATTTAGTTGTGTATTTGTTTGTTTATGTGTGTTTAACGGCTGTTTTATTCGCCGATCATGAATCACTTTTTTGTGGTAGACATTTTACAGCCATAAATAGTTAGGGTGCATACAAACTGAGCTCAATAAATTAACTGAATCAGACACAAACAAATGAAATTAAACCATATATCCTAATGTCAAGTGAAAGTACTTTTTTTTTTCTTGTATATCATCAAAAGAAGTCCATATGGTTGGTCTGGGCTGCATGTAACCTATTTAGTACCATGATTGTCGGCTGTTTTTAACGTATTAAAGCCATAAAAAATCCTTAACGAGAAATGGTTGTGTAAATAAACACTATTGTTAAACGCCTTGATATTTATTATGGTTTGTAATTTTTGAATAAAAATTCTGGGGCCTGTTGGCATGTAGAAGAATTAGCGTTTTTTGGAAGTGTGCTGCAACTCATGTAAACTTGTCACCTGCCATGAAAATGTGTGGTAGCACGGTCTAAAATAACTAATCATAAAGCACCACAACTCATCAAAACACAACGAGTTCTCTTGTTTTTTTTGGTTTTTTTTTTGTTTTTGGCAAAAGAACATAATAAAAGTCAGCTGCAGATCTCATTACAGATCCAAACCTCCATGGCTGACTTGATTATAGCAAGAAAAAAATGTATTAGTAAGGCCAGGAGATTCTATAAATGCAAAATGATTTTGGTACATGGCCATTGCCATGGAAGGAAAACTGCTTTTGCAGAATTTGCACTTCTTACTCAGACCAGAGAAGTTGCTTAGGATTACAGATGGTAGCGCTTACCATTGGGCTCGCCTCTTCAGATAGTCAGCCCTAAACACCAGTTAAAGCATTTCATACAGCGTGCCACATCATCACATTATACATGTTCATAAAAAGGAGGAGGCATCACTGGCCCCAGCATATCAAAATAATACACAGTGTTCCAGATAAAGGCCATGAACACAGAGAGCTCGCTGTAAAGAATTTTCCACTCTGTGCCTCCATTTCATTCACAAATCTTTATGTAGATAATAAAGATAGCTGAGACAAACTGTTTGGGAAAACATTTACCTTAACACATAAGAGGAAGGTATTATTAGGGTAATATATGATAAGATTAATTTAATGTCCCACATATATTAAAGTGAAGGATTTTCACAAATTTTTTAAAAGACCCGCCCTCTTTGGCCTAAAAAAAACAAACAAAAAGACACATGCAAAACCCTGTACCCACTCCCGAGAGGAAATGCTTATTTAATGCATGCCCAGGGATTTCTCCTTGTGCACACTCTGTTTAAAAGTTTCTGTTTGCATCGCTCATACAAGCTTATTTTCCTAAAGAAGAGTTGCAATTTTTCCACTATGTCAGACTCAATGCCAGTACGTGAAAATGGGGACGAGCACGTAGGACGGCCTTACGTAAACATGTCACCAGAACAATTAGGAGGACCTCTTATTTAGATCATCCACCTGGAAAAAGAACATCCTCAACTATATCTTTAACATTTTTATAAACAAAGATTTCTAATATGTCTGTAATTGGTGAAAAAAAAATGCAATGAGCATTTTGTAAATGTCCAAAACTTGCAGAAAACATGTAATGACTGATTTATGAAAGTCTCATTGGAAACCAACATGGTTTTGTTTCACTCATATCTTTGCTTTCATGGAGGTGGGCATGATGTACAAAAACTGGTCTCTTATTGGCTTATATGAGATTAGTAGAGCACTTTACCTTTTATAGAAATAAAACAATTAAAATAATGCTCATCTTAGTAGTCATGGAAGTGAAATTTCTCCAGATATTGATTAAAGAATTTCCATTCTGACTCTTACCTAATGCAGGGGTGCTCAAGTCTAGTCTTTAACAGCTACTATCCTGCAACCATTTGATGAAATCATTTTTAACATTAAATGAGTGGCTTGTTACGAGCTGAAGGAGGAGATTAAGCCTTTAAAAAAGTTAGAGGATGGTAGCTTTTGAGGGCTGGACTTTAGCACCACTGGCCTAATGTAATGTATGAAACTAGCAATTCAAAGAGCCTATTGTTTTCACAAGTCTCAATCGCTTAAAAAAAAAAAAAAAACACACATTGATCCTGCAAAAAGATGGGTTCAGAGCTACTAGAAAACTAGCAACAACATAGGCATTTTAATAGATTGAACAAGTTTTTCAACAACTTTTTAAATCCATCAAGTAACCCATCATTACCATAGCAAAAACTAAATATTTTTAAGCCTATAATATTTTAGGTGATCATAGCTCTTTAGATGAGGTGTGTGGCTCTGAAAAGAGCCGTTGGGTTTGCGGTGGTGGAGCAGAGGGCTTTACTTGGAGCTGGTGTACTTGGTGACAGCCTTGGTGCCCTCAGACACAGCGTGCTTGGCCAGCTCACCGGGCAGCAGGAGGCGCACAGCGGTCTGGATCTCCCTGGAGGTGATGGTGGAGCGCTTGTTGTAGTGAGC